TGTAGTACTATAGTGAAGCCCAGAACACACTGGCCTCACGGGCAGCTAAATTCATTGTCAACTTGTATTGTGTTTGTCAGTAATGAGAATTTCAAACTTACACTGAATTTTTATTATTTTTCAAGGTTGATGATGTCAGTGGGACAGCCTAAGGGGTGTGTATGTCTGTGTGTGTGTTCCTATCACTATTGACTCAGCACTTTAAATGGACCAGAATTTCCTGGATGTTTTCATAGTTGTCTCTGCTCTGTCATATCTTCCTTCCATTTCTAGCCCCCCAGCTACAGGTCCTTTCTCTAGAGATGATCAGAACTGGCAGTCGCTTGTGCTTATTTCTAGAGAGATGCTCTTTTTACAATGGCACTAGACACATGGTAGGCACCTTACTTTTTTCACTGACTGTATCTTGGAGAGTCTTCCATATCTTCCATATCAGTACATAAAAAATTTCCTCAGTTCTTTTTAGGAACTACATATGTTCTATGGTATAGATGTCTCATATTTGTTTAACTGGTCACATATCAGTGAATATTTGTGTAGTACCTGATCTTTTGCTGTATTGTAATGGAATAACTTAAAAAATTTTTTTTAAATTTTAATTCAGTTAATTAACATATAGAGTACTATTGGTTTCAGAGGTACAGGTCTGCGATTCATCAGTCTTATATAATACCCAGTGCCCATTACATCACATGCCCTCCTTAATGTCCATCCCTCAGTTACCCCATTCTGCCACCCCCCTCCCCTCCAACAACCCTCAGTTTGTTTCCTATGATTAAGAGTCTCTTATGGTTTGTCTCCCTCTCTGGTTTCGTCTTGTTTTATCTTTTCCTTTCTTCCCCTATGATCCTCTGTTTTGTCTTAAATTCCACATATCAGTAAGATCATATGAATTATTGTCTTTCTGTGATTGACTTATTTCGCTTAGCATAAGACCCTGTAGTTGTAATGGAATAACTTTGCACATATGTCATTTTCCATATTCAGTAATCTATCCTGCAGATCTATTCTTGGGACTGGAATTGCAGGACCACAGGGTATGTGCATATTCTATTTTGTTAGATGTTTATACCAGAATTACACCTATCTACACTCCCACCAACAATGTATAAGAGCACATATTTGGGGAGAATTTCTGTGTTTATTTCTTAACTTTAAATGCAGTAGGTAAAAAAAATCAACTGGTTTTTCATTTTACAAAATTTTTTTTTTAAAGATTTTTATTTATTTTTCAACAGAGAGAGAGACAGCGAGAGAGGGAACACAAGCAGGGGGAGTGGGAGAGGGAGAAGCAGGCTTCCCGCCGAGCAGGGAGCCCGATGTGGGACTCAATCCCAGGACGCTGGGATCATGACCTGAGCCGAAGGCGGAAGCCCAACTGACCGAGCCACCCGGGCATCCCATCATTTTACAAAAATTTTCTAAGGTTGGATGAATTAAACTCAAGCCAGAGGTTCTCCACCTGGATGATAATTAGGCATGTATTTTTGGTAGTTAGCAACATTAAAATAGGAAACAATTGCATTTTAAAAACAAACCTTTGAATGGTTTTATCACATAATGCATTTAATTGGGAATTAACACAGGGATGCACACAATTGGGAAGGTAAATCGAATGCCTTAGTCATATTATTTACAAGTGCTTTTGTTAAAAGTGGTTGTGAAGGGGTCATTATTCATTTCTTGCATTGGTGGGACCAATGAAAAGTTAAAAAAATTGGTTAAACAAGTCATCCCTGTCACTGTCTCTCTAGGAGCTGTCCTCTTTTGCAAATGTGATTTCCTTTGTGGAGGTCAGCCCTGATTTTGCTCAGAGGGTGCTACTTGTTTCTTGTTCTGTGTGTCAGTGTGGTCTGACAGCAGTCCCCAGGGCCTGGCCAGTGATACTGATGTCACATTATTTGAGTGGGTCCTTGAGGTAGCCATGCAACCAGACTCCACTCCAGCGCTGTCTCTGCTAGCTCTGTGGGTAATTGCGTTTGTAGTCTGAGGACTTCTGTTTATAGCAGATCAGCCCCGTGCTCCTAAATCCTGAAGCACTTAATCAGAGCGCTGAGGCAGGGGCCATCCCTAAGGCCTTGCCCCTGGCTCCCCAGGCCTGCAGCTCACTGGGCTGAAACGGGTCCAGAAAAGAAATCTGGCCGGCTGCCACGTGCCACTGTATTTTATGACCACAAATTCAGTTTTCTGATTTTTACCAGTCATAAAGGTTTGTGCTTTGGATTTGTTGGGGACTGTTTGGGCTCTTGTCTCAAAGGCAGGGAGACAATAGTCTGATATTGGGGTTGGAACAAATTCCTCATAGCTTGAATATTTTAACTGGTTTATTGGTCTCCTGGGGTAAGCTGCCAGTTGATTAGCACACTCCAAACTGACAGTAAGTCTATAGTACTCAAGCATCTGATATATTTTTTTGTGTGTATTTTGAGGACCTTTTGTATGTGGTTAAAAATATCACTCTCTGGGTCATGGAAACTCCCCTTTTGCATTAGGGGTTTTCTTTCCATATGATAGTTAACATAGAATATTCTAGAGGGCTTTAGGGCTTGGAGGGGATTAGAATTAATTTTCATCTCTACATCATTGAATTTGGGACCTTCAGTTTTCTAATTGCGTGTTGGATGGTCATTTCTAAGTAAAGTAGGGGCCTAATTTATTATCACCAGTGCTGATACTGGTTACCTGAATTGAGTAGCTATTGTATTACTATCTGAAAAGAGATCTGTAAAGTGTTAAAATACTGTATTTGTGATAAAGTGTCCTTGACTCTACTTTAAGAGCCATAATTTAATTAGCAGCAGTGGGGCTTCTCCACAAAGAGGACCGGTATCGAAAGGGAAGGGGGAAATGAAACTGTTGCTAGGACCTTGAGAAGCAAAGCATTTCACGAAATAGGTTCCACAATTAGTTTAGCCATTACTTTTCTGAAAAGGCCAGTTTTCTTTAATGACCTATCCATACTCGATGACTTTTTATTTCAAATTGATGCCACGGACTTCCTTGATTTAAAAAAACATCACAGAAGGAAAAAAAAAGTAAGATATTCTCTTTTTTAAAAAAAGTAAAGAAGTAGACCCAGCAATTGCACTACTGGGTATTTACCCCAAAGATACACATGTAGTGATCCGAAGGGGCACGTGCACCCCAATGTTTATAGCAGCAATGTCCACAATAGCCAAACTATGGAAAGAGCCAAGATGTCCATCGACAGATGAATGGATAAAGAAGCTGTGGTATATATATATAGATATACACACACACACACACACACACTAGAATATTATGCAGCCATCAAAAAAAATGAAACCTTGCCATTTGCAACAACATGGATGAAACTAGAGGGTATTATGCAAGCAAAATAAGTCAATCAGAAAAAGACAAGTATCATATGATCTCACTGATATGAAGATTTGAGAAACAAGACAGAGGATCATAGAAGAGAAGGAAAAATGAAACAAGATGAAACCAGAGAGGGAGACAAACCATAAGAGACTCTTAATCTCTGTGTAAGACTGATGAATCACAGACCTGTACCCCTGAAACAATACATTATATGGTAATAAAATTTTTTTTTAAAAAGCAGGCTTATGTGATAACCAATGATAACCTGTTTTTTGCAAGCCTAAATTGGGGGTGCATCTTTTAAAATAAGGGTTTAAAAAAAAAACTTTGCAGATGATTATCTTGGTGTACTTGAGAGAAGCTGCACAGGCATAAAATCATTTGTCTTAGTGTCTTCCTGTCTCTCACCCAGGGTATTTGTCTTTCTCTCTACTTGCTAAGAACAGGAAATTGCAAAAATAAAGATTTAATCGGTTAAAAAGAAAAGAAAAGAAGTAGCATTTCAAGGAACATCTTTCTTGTCTCCAAGCTGTTGGTGGAGATAAATTCCTTCTGAAGTTCAGTTCTGGTGCAAAAGGGATGAGTGCATTTTAACTGACAGCCTGAAATGTTACTGGCCTCTTTAGACATGGAATCTGCTATTCAAAGATAGTGTTTCTTTTTTGTTGCTTTCGACCCTAACATGCTATTTGTAATAAATAACAAATTTTCTTTCTTTATTTTTTTGCCACTTACCTAGGCTGCAGTACTGTAGCAGTGCTGGTTAACAAGTTGCTTATTCTTATTTAATGTGAACTTGGGTATTTTAGAAATCCCTGTCAACAAGTTGCTTTTTTAAAATCACTTTTAAAGATGCCCCTTTTATGCCTCTTTGGACCCTTCTAGATTATAGTAAATAGAAGTAGGTGCACAGGTAGCCTCCCTTATGCCCTTCATTTAATTTTGTGGACCTAACAATACACGTTATATCCTTTCAAATTATTATTCTCAGTGTGGTACTTTATTTCCCTCTCCTTTAAATCTCCCACCCACTGAATGGCTGGATATTTCTGTCTCTCTTCTTCAGGTTCTATCCATTTTATGAGACAAGGAGATACACAGTAAATGAATGTTGAAAGAAAGATCTGATTTCCCTTTATGCAGTGATGTTTTTATGAAAACGCTACTCTATTTAGAATAGTATTAAGGAGGCATCTTTATTCAGACAATTTTTAGTGCATAGGACACTTTTAGTAGGTAGGACTCTGAAAGTTTACTGTTTAGTCAGAATCAATTTCCATGTATGTCAAGCTCTAGAGCAGATAATTCTGTAAACATTTTCTATCTATGGATTGCCTCTTACCAGCATCTAGCCAGCAATTTGTTTTTATTAACTCTTTCTCAAGGTCCACACAGAAAAGGCTTATCAGTCAGTGTCCTTCTTTTCCTAGCTCTGGCTTTACATCCCTTCTCTTTCTTAGACCCCTACAGTTAGCTGACATTGCCTTTACAATTCAATAACTTCAGGAAAAGATGGTGGGGAGCTTACAGTTAAACAGGGAATGTAAAGAATTAATCCTCACTTCATGAAGTCTGTAAGCAAGGTAAATAAAAAGCAAATGCGGGTGTCCCTCAGTGGCTGCTAAGGTTCCTGTCTTCACTGTCTGTAATTGTTTCAGGACTTGCTCCATGCTGTAGAGACCAAAGAAGTTCTTGAAAGGGAAGTCAGGATCCTCCAAGAAAGGCTGCTTGCTGGCCAGAGGGTCTGGGATGCTTCGAAGCAGGAGCTGAGCCTCTTGAAGAAAAGATCTTGTGAGTTGGAGAAGAGTCTGGAGGCCAGTCTGGATGCGGCTGCAGCCTCGCGAACCCAGTACTCCTCATTTAGGGAGGCAGTCGCCGCCCTGCTTAGAGGCAGCGGGGACACGACGGGGCCCACGGAGGATGCCATTGTGGAAAGGATCCGAGAAATGACCAGCCAGGAAGAGAGCAGGAAAAGGGTGAGTGGGAGGTGGCCGCTTGTAAGATTCTTGAGGACAGTAATTTGCTGGATCATTTAAATGTGGCTTTTATTACTTTCAATTATATAGCATACTTTGGGAGCCTGGAGAGTCACTTAAATGACAGCTGACTACGATGTGGGTTCTGGGGTCAGAGCTACGTGTGCTCAATCCTGTCTCTACTGCACACTCGCTCACTCCAGGTGTGACGTGGGCAGGGTCCTAAGATGACAGCCTCTGAGATTGTGTTTTCTTATCCACTGGACAGGGAAGGCTCTGGGGCCACACCCCTCATCTGAACCCGCCGGGGGCTGGTGTATTTTTGAATTCAGAATTTTTCAGGATTTTGAAAGGTAAAATAGTAACACAGAATGGTAATGGAGAGAACGCTCTTACACATTCCTCCTCAGTGGGGTCTGGGGCAGCACCCCATAATCAACCACATTCATCGTTTTGCAGCAAAGCCCGTGGCAGCTCCATCGCGTGGACTGTACCAGGACCATAAGCTTCGTGGCACTTTGGGGTAGGGTTTGCTGCCAAATCCCATCAGGTCAAGCTTTATCAGCAAGTGAGTGATGGGAAAAGCCATCAGTTTTCAGATGCTTTGGGGTTTTGGAATTGCAGACAAGGTTTCCTAGACCTGGAAGAGTATCTCCTTCATAAGGTTATTGTTTGCTGAAAGCATTAAATGAAAAATAATGGTTATGAAGTCCTTAACACACTACCTGGCCAATAATGATGATAAATATTGACTCTTGCTGTCCCTGCTTCTCTTCTTCTCTGTCCTCCTCTTCATAGTGGTGCCTGAACAGTCTTTTAAGGGATTTATTTAACACATGGAGAAAGATGTTTTAATTCACATATGAGACTGAAGATTGTTGAATTTTGTTATCTTGTTTCTACTATTAATAATTCTCCTTTACTACATAGCTTTGCTTAGCTGTGTCAACGTCAGCCTGACTCTGTTTAAATTACCATCAAATCCAAATTATTGAAGTCCTTATTAATGAGGTTTTAAAGTGAACAGTATCCAAATCCTAGGTATAATTCCATTGTGATCTGTTTCTTCCATGAGTTCATGCTGGTCCGAGGGAGAAATTGTATTTTTCCCTCCTTTGATGTTTCTAAAATACCCAGAGAAATCACTAATTCAGAGTTCGTGATTGAATTTGACAATTTCCTTTAATGATCAAACATTTTCAGTTCCCTTTAAAAGTTCTCCAAAATTCAGGGTGCCTGGGTGGCGCAGTTGGTTAAGCATCCGGCTCTTGGTTTCAGCTCAGGTCGTGATCTCAGGGTTATGAGATCAAGGCCCCAGTGGGGCTCCCTACTCAGCATGGAGTCTGCTTGAGGCTCTCTCTCCCTCTTCCTCTGCCCCCCTCCTTGCTTTCGTTCACTCTTTCTCTTTCTCAAATAAATAAATAAATCTTAAAAAAAATTCTCCAGAATTCATGTGTGTTCTTAGGAGCAACCCAAGTGACCCTTTTGTCCAAGTGTAGGATTCTTTTTGTGGATATAAAATGGTCATCCTGTGACATGTGCAGGTCTCTGAGAGTAACTCAGTTTTTCTCGTGGTTGGTACTGGATTGGAGAAGAAAATTATTTCCAGGACTGAGAAATACTTCAGTCGGTTATTTACCTTGACTAGCAGGTACTTCAGTGTACTTCAATAGCTAATGGTTCTTCACCATTTTGTTTTATTGCTTCCCTCTTCTGTTTTCCCAAATGTTTTCCTCAAATTCTTTTAATTCAGCATGTGAAACATGGCATAAAATTGTCAGCATGATGTATATGTTTATTTTCTAAAGCAAAATGATGTAAATTGGTTAAGCTGGCTATTCCTCTCCCCAACCCCCCATAAAAATCGGAATGATTCAGAGTCTTTTTAGTGCCTTTGTCTGCCTCTTCTACCCTGTAATTTTTTTCAATAGCTGTTCTCACTATTTAAGAGCCTGAAATCAAGCATATAGCTGGGGTCTTGTGTGACTCATCTTCAAGTAAAATTAGGAGAAAATGGATTTCATATATTGTCTTAGAAATGTTTCTGAAGACTGGGAGATTTACAAATTGATGAACCTGTTTGTTGAGGAGGCTGTGCACCCCTGGACAGTTACCTTGGTTAAACACACACTCAGCGGTTGAGTAATACCCCCGGGGAGGCCCAAGGGTGGCTTTACGCGGGGCCTGGCAAATTCGCCATTTCAGGTCGACTCCTACTTTCTGAACCTTGCTTTTCTTGTTTACCTTGTTGCTGTTCATTTTGACTCTCCTGTGTTTGCAGTCCTCTGTAGAATTCAGGACACCACCCACACTTTTTCAGTAAGTCATTTCTGCTTGTTCCTTGCTTTTCTGCTTATAGCAAAACCAAATTCTCTTTTTAAAAGCGCTACCAGATCTTGGAGTAGGGTTTCTCAGGCTTGGCACTATTGACATTTCAGGCTGGATAATCCTTTGTCGTGGGCCCGTTCTGTACACTGTAGGGTATAGAGCGGCATCTCTGGCTTCTGCCCCCTAGGTACTAGTTGTACCATTTCCCCTCAATTTGTAACAACCAAAGATGCCGCCAGACAAATATCCCTGGAGGGTAAGATTATCGCCAGTTGGAAACCGCTCTCCTAGAGGAATGCCCTACTGTTGGGTTCCTAGGAATTCTAAATGAGCGTAGATGTTATTTAGCCTTGAAATTTCAGTACCCTTGTAACAGGTGTTTTTGAAATAATGATGTCTTGCACAATGACAGAAAGTTGCGACATTTTCAGATTTTAGTGTGGAATTTCAAGGCAAACATTTTTCTCTTGCTTTTAGATGTTTCCTAACTGCTAATCATCTGGATGAGAAATGATTATGTACAGAGAGGACATGATTATGATTGATTTCTATGTCATTTCTTAAGTTAAAGACAATTCATACAAGCTTAGAAATGTTTATCTAGACAGCTCTTTTGTTCTTCTTTAGGCACACATAAGGCTTTCTTTCCTCTGCTGGAGTGTTTCTTGGTTCAGTGGCTCTCTGGGAGCCGTGGGGATCCAGCCTGATGCCCTAAAGGACCTGAGATGAGCTCCACACACCCCCCTGCTCCCTCATCTGATCTAATCATTCTGCTCTCTTCTTAATCCTCCAATACACTAAATCAAACATTTACCTAGAAGCTTTGGCAGTCTCCCACTACATTTCATTGCCCCAAATTATGTCATATGGCCACTCCTGGCGACAGGGCCGTCTGGGAGAGTGAAAAGGTAGAGATTTTGGTTCTTCCAGCATCACAGTCTAGTAATATCCTAGGATGGCCATAACAAAGTACCACCAACTTGGTGGCTTAAACAATAGAGGTGTGTTGTCTCCTAATTCTGGAGGCTAGAAGTCTAAAATCATGGTGGATTCGTTCCTTCCGAGGCTGTGAGGGAGAATCTGTTTCGGGTTTTTCGCCTAGCTTCTGGTAGCCTCAGGTAGTCCTTGGCTTATGGATGGAATTCTCTCTGTATCTTCACATTATTTTCCCTCTATTTGTGTGTGTCTCTGTGTCCCAATTTTTCCTTTTTTTGTAAGGACACCAGTCGTATTGCATTAGGACCCAGGTCTGTAAAGACTCTATTTCCAAATAAGGGCACATTCTGAGGTACTGGGGGACTTGAACATACCTCTTTGTTGGAGGACCCAATTTAACCTGTAGCAAAAGTGGACATGCACAAAGGTGGAGGGAGTGGGGACAGCCAGTCAATAAGGTTGCCCAAACAAACTGATAAGAAGGAGAAAAAATTTGATTGATATTTTATTGCTGGTTCCTGACAACATAGTTTATATATTTCCTCAGTAAAAGTTATAGCTTGAATAAGGAGAAAAGAGTTTTATGTCCAAAAGGCACTGGTCCTTAAGTGACCCAAGTGGCTCTTCCTCAGTTTAGAACTCTTGTGCTTCCATTTGGTTTAATCTTAGGGCAAAAGTGCCTCTCTGGTGAAATCAACAACTACTTGTCCTTCGCAAGTGAATTAATTCTTTTAGGGCATTATGACTTCACTTCCAAAAAACAGGCTGCTTGTTGTTGAAGAATAATTTACTTCCGTGCCTTTTTTGTTTTATGAGGTATGTTTTCTTTACTATATTCCAACCCCCCCACCCCCACCATTCCCTACATCGCTAGTGTTGAAATCCCTGGCACATTTTGTCCCACGGAATATCAGGGATATGTTAACAGATGATACTAAGAAAAAGAAGAAAAAAAATAAAGAAAGAAAAGCTTACTGATTCTTTGGAGTTCTTGGTGTTAAAAATACAACCCATCTTTACAGTTTTGGCAAGACACGTATATTCACCCAGGCACCCATTTGATGTTCCCAAGAACCGAGTCAGATTGGGATGTTAATTTATTTGAATAAATCTATGTACATTTAGCTCTGAGAAAAAAATGGTGCTCTCACATGTACCGAGACCTAACTAAGCTCAGTTCTTTGTCGCCTAGAATGTGGAGAGCTTCTCAGCTGTTTGCTCCTCTCTGGACACAAGAATTTTTGGCAGGGCAGTTTGTAGATTCTGCATGGTTCAGCCATCTCCATACTGGTGGTTTTAAAAGTTATACTATGCTGGGGCATCTGGGTGGCTCAGTCGTTAAGCGTCTGCCTTCGGCTCAGGTCATGATCCCAGGGTCGTGGGATCGAGCCCCACGTCGGGCTCCCTGCTCTGCGGGAAACCTGCTTCTCCCTCTCCCACTCCCCCTGCTTGTGTTCCCTCTCTCACTGTCTTTCTTTGTCAGATAAATAAATAAAATCTTAAAAAAAAAAGTTATACTATGCTGAGTCTTCAAGTTCCGTGGAACCCTCTTGGGTCCACTCAGGGTGAGGATCCAGGAGGAACCCTTTCACCTTTGATTTAGCACATTGTCCCGTATTTGTGCTTCCCAGAAAGGTTTTCAGTTGAAAAACAGGTTCTATGGGCTGCCAGTGGTTTGAGAAACATGACAAAGGACAATTCCTGCAGGGCCCCTTTAACTCTTTATGACAAAAGCATAGGACCGACTCAACCAACATACTGGGGTAGAAATACTGATGATCAGAATGAATGCAGTGCGTTGAACTTCAGTTGGGTGTGCAATACTGTGCTACTCACATTATCTAAGTTATCATCTGATCATCAAAGCAAAGACGCTGAGTTTCAGAGAGGTTAAGTACTTGCTTCAGTTCACATGCTTGTGAGGAGTAGAGTGGGCACTCGAGACCAGGACTCTCTGACTCCAAAGACCCCGTGCCACAGTCTGGTCTCCATCAAGATGTCCTCTTCTTTCTTCAGGGTCATTAACACTGCCTTAGTTTAACTTCCTGTAGGTGCCTGAGGGGTCATCTTCAAAATGGAGTCTTTACTGATCAATCTCTATGGCAGGCATTGCTTTCTTCGGGGAAATACATACAGATGATGTAATATCTGTAAACGGCACCCCCCTCTCCCAAGGCCGTATCTTGGGGTGTTGTTTGATGGCTGTTGTTTTGTAAGTTACTTTGTGTATTGTACCAAGACTCTTGCATTAAGATCACACCTATTATCAGTTAAGTGCTGATGGTAGGAAAAAACAACCTGAGGTTCTCGGAGGCTCATACTCTGTAATTAAATTTGAAATTCCCTTGGAGAATATAATTCCTTTGATGTGGTGCTAAGCAGCTTGCCATCAAATACTTGATTTCAAGTACCCATAGCAGTATAGAATTAATTGAATTACAGACCTGGGACCTTGAGAGCCATGGAAGCACAGGATTAGAGCATTTAGAGATTCGATAGTGTAACATTCCTGATTGTAGCCCTTCAGTCCACTCCATAACACTCTTAACACATGGTTGGCCAATTTCTTACCATCTCCAGTGACTAGGAATCCACTGCCAGACATGGGAAGATGCTTAAAATATCAGGTAAACACAAAGACGTAAAATTGCAAATATAGTATCTCAACTCTGTTTTAACAGTGCATAAAAATAGATTTAAATATAGAGCAGGCGGGAAAGAGAGAGAGAAAGAATCTTAAGCAGACTCCATGCCCAGCATGGAACTCAATGTGAGGCTCGATCTCACAACCCTGAGATCATGACCTGAGCTGAAATCAAGAGTCGGACACTTAACTGATTGAGCAACCCCGGTAACCTATTTGAAAACATTAATAGTTGTTCTCTCTGGGTGGGGATTATTTCTTTTTCTTATTTATACTTTTTAAAATCCTTAATGAATCTTTTATAGTGGGCATGTATTACTTTGTAATTATGGGGACCAGGAGAAATTCTTCCTTATACTGAAGTGGAATTATTTCTCTGATTTATATCTGTTGGTCCTTAAGCTCTGAGGACTCAGAACAAACCTTATTATTCTTCCATATAATAGCCTTTCAAAATATTTGAGGATGGCTTGAGTGTCTTCTTGCTTTTAAAAATGGTTATTGATAGGAGTGTCTGGCTGGCTTAGTTGGTAGAGCATGCGGCCCTTGATCTCAGGGTCATGAGTTTGAGCCCCACATTGGGCGTGGAGCCTATTTAAAAAAACAAAACAAAATGGTTATAGATAGATAAGCAGAATTTTTTTTTTAACTGAAATTGTAAACCTGAAACCATCAAGTTATTTCAATTTAAAAAAATTATTTTTAAAGATTTTATTTTATTTATTTGAGAGAGAGAGAGAGAGTACACAAGCAGGGGGAGGGGCAGAGGGGGAGGGATAAGCAGACTCCCGTCTAAGCAGGGAGCCTGACATGGGGCTTGATTCCAGGACCCTGAGATCAGGACCTGAGCCGAAGGCAGATGCTTAACTGACTGAACCCCCCCAGATGCCCCAAATTATTTCAATTTTGCAGGAATGGTACTGAGTATTATGTAAATATCTATTTTTTTCTTTTCCTCTTCTGAAACAAACCATCAAAACAAAACAAATTTATCACCCCAAACTTGGTGTTTTTATAGAATTCAATGTTTCATGAAAACTGGATTTGGTAGAATCAATTTGATTATTCTCAGAGCGTACCTGAGGTGTTTGGTAAACTAATGTTCTTGGTTAAAGGAATATCAGGACAGAGAGAAACTTCAGGAAGGGATGGAAGCATTGGGCAAGTGAGGGGTGTGTGGAGGGAAGTGGGGCCTTTAATGGAGAAACTGTGATTTCATTTTGTAGGAGAGGAGGTAGCAATCAGATTCTCCTGCCTTCTTGTACATAGAGTTGCTGTGTTAAATTTGACCTCTCAAATGCTAAAATGATAACATCACTACTTAAGTACACAGCACAGAAACAGCATCGCCGGAGTTTGGTGCATGAGTAACCAATATTCAATGGAAAATTTAAAAAAAGCTTGAAAAATTATCTTTATGCACTTGAATTCCCGATAAATTTACTATCAAAACTAACTCACTGTATAATCTTTAATCCACTATATCTGGTGGAAGAATTTCTCTGGAGAATGACACTTACATAGGTTTAAAAGCATTTTCTGTCTGAACTTTTTTTTTTCAAGCTTTAAGCTTTGAAAGTCCTAAATGAATGGCAGTTTTAGGGGTAAGTCAATATGATCCATAAAATTTCTCGAGTAACCTGTTTAAGGAATTATATAAAAATGAAAAATACCAATAGAAATATTTTATTAGATAATGAATGCATATTTATTTCAAGGAGAGGCAAAGACAGCTATCAAATTACCTGTTTTTTAATTTAATTTTTACAAAGAATCTGGAAGTTGGTGTTATAAATAGTTATGTTGCTTGGGCTGAGCACTAGATTTTAACACTTTGTTGCATTGAAAACAAGGCTTTTCCTTGTCTGTTTCTTTGTTTCCAGATGGTTTCCCAGCTTGAAGCCCGAATATCTGAGCTTGTGGAACAGTTGGGAAATGAATCTGGGTTTCACCAGAAAGCTCTACAGAGAGCCCAGAAAGCAGAAAACAAGTTGGAGACTCTTCAGGGTCAGCTGACACAGCTGGAGGGAGAGCTGGTTTCTGGAGATGTTTTGCGGGATCACTTGAATTTTGAGAAACAAAAAGTAATAACCTGACGGCATATCCATGGGTAGAAACATCTGTTGCAGTGTAAAATTTTACCTGAAAATATTCCGAATTTTATAGTATTTCAGTAGAATGGTTACGTCTGAGGAATGAGGAAATATCAAGGAACAACCGATACTGTTTTGGGGGATCTTCCCATTCTTGGGGGCTTTCTTGAGTCAAATTAATCCAGTTAAACTCATCATACATGAGACCCTGATGGTTTGAGGGCTAAGGTATGAATAACACACAGGTCTTGATCATAAAATCTCATAAAAGTCTTGATCATAAAAGGCTCTTGATCATAAAAGGCTCATCATTCAGTAGAGGAGGCCGACATTCTAGTAATCTGCTGTGATGGTAAAGCTGTACGTGTTGTAAGAGATGGATTGATTGATGAAATGCTGTAGGAATTCAGTGAAGGGAATGATAACTTCTGGATAAGGGGAGGATTTTTACAGGGGAGAGAATAATGCAGTTCATCCTTGGAGGAGAAGTCGGATTTTAGTGGAGAAGGCGAGCAGATCCTGTAGGGCCAACAGGTTGAGCGAGGGCATGAAAGCTTGTAGGTGCATCGTTAGGTCAGAGTGCAGAGCGATTGTTCCCATTTGGCTGCAACACTGCACCCCTGATGGGGTTGTGGCAAGAGAGAAGACTAGATTTATTTGGATTAGGAAGATTCTTTATTCTCTGCTTTGTAGAATATGGAGCCTAATAAGTGACTTTGAGCATCGCGATGTTTTAGAAAGAGGACGTGATGTCCCCGTGAAGCTGAAGTTACAGTAGGGACAGACTCAGAAATGCTAATGGCGCTAGCCCTGTGGGCGAGGAGAGTGGAGTGAGAAGACGAGGGGCCCCCCTTCTAGTAGAGTGGTGAACAGAGACCAGTTTGCACTGGGTTGAGGGGTGAGTGAGAAGGGAAAGCTAGAGATGTAGAAATAGATTCTTACGAAGTCTGGTGAGCAGGGAAAAAGAGACATGTAGCAGGAGGACCAAAGAAAGGTTTTATTGGATGGAATGGGAAGGTACATGTTTGTGGGTCCCAGGAGTCTGCATGGGAGGAAAAAGACAAATGGGATTGGAATTTGGCATGAAAAACACGCTTAGGTTAAAAAATCCGTACCCTGGAGACTCATTCATGCTCATTTTTCTGTACTTAAAAAAGCCGAGGAAACATCTTGCCTGCATTGAGGGTTGGCTAGGCAAAGATGCGTAAGGGGTCTGTGGGAAATCCTAGTCTAAGTGGATGGGACAGGTAAATGAGGACACAATAATTAATTAATGGAGATAGGTATAAAATTTAACAGGAACTTGGGTAAAGTTCCTATTTCTGTGTGTGAGGAAATGAGCCCTTTTCACATAGGAGGTGGCATTCATGAGAGGCTTTAAAGAATGAGTAGGAATTTGTCAGGCAGAAGAGGTGGGGAAGAGATTCAGGGTACAGGGAACAGCAGGAAGGAGGAGGGAACGGAGGTGTGCCAGGCTGCTCAGGAGGCCAGTGGGGCACGGGGAGACTGAACATGGTGCATGGTGAGGCCAGAGGCATGAGGAGGCTCTAGAAGCATGTAGGAATAATTGGCATAGAGAAGGCTAATTTTCCAAGGCTTTATCCTATGGGTAACAGGACACCGTAGAAAGTTTCTGAGTAAAAGAAAGTAAAAGAAAGAAAGGGTTTTGAGTCTCTGAAAGCAGACTGGCTCTGAGGACCTAGAGACTTAAAGGCAGAGAGCCCAGCTGAGGGATTCTTAGAATAGTGCAGAATGGAAGCTAATAAATATTTGGACCAAGTAGTGGTTTTATGAATGAAGGGGTAGACTGGAGATATTGGGGAGAATGAAGGGTATCTGAAAAAGGTGTGTTTGTTGAAATTTTAGGTTTGAAAGGACATGTTGCACCTGAATACAATATGTTACATTGGAAAAAGTCTGACTGCTGGACTGTCCACCTGGATGTCCCACGTGTGCCTTGCACTAAACATATTCCAAATGGAAATGGTCATCTCTCCACAGATTTGCCCCCTCCTGCCTCAGGGATGATGAAGTCATCTGCCTCCAGGTGTCCAAGCCAAAAGCCCCAGAGTCATCCATAATGCTTCCCTCTTTTTTTTTTTTTTAAGATTTTATTTATTTATTTGACAGAGAGAGAGAGGGAACACAAGCAGGGGGAGTGGGAGAGGGAGAAGCAGGCTTCCCGCTGAGCAGGGAACCCTATGCGGAGCTCGATCCCAGGACCCCAGGATCATGACCTGAGCCGAAGGCAGATGCTTAATGACTAAGCCGCTTAGATGCCCCAGTGCTTCCCTCTTTTTAAGCAATTCCTAAACACTATAGATTCCATCTCCTTAAGGTATCTCAAATACCCTCTGCCCCCCACTCTGTATTTAGTGGCAGTGCTTTGACTTCAGAGCATTATGGTCATTTGCATGGACTCCAGAAGCAACCTGACAGCTCCCCACTGTGCCGGGGAGGTCTTAATAAGAGGCATGTCTAGTCTTACCTTTCTCCATCTTAAAACTGGGCAGGGGCTCTCTATGGCCCTCAGGCTCAGCTACAGATTCCTTCTCACCATAGCTGAGCATTCTGTGACCTGGCCAGGTCCCCCCCTCCAGGCTTCCCATTACCCTGCCATCTCTCTAGCCCACGGTGGCAAACTCAAGGCGTCTGCGGACCAACAGGGCCCTGCAAGGGTGTGGGGGGATTGAATCCAAAGATATCCATGTTCAAATTTGTAAAAAAAACACTTACCTGGCAAAAAAAAAAAAAAAGAGAGAGAGAGAGAGCCCCCTTAGCATCCCATATTGTACATTGCTGTTCTCTCTGAGAGAATGTTCTCCTTAACTCCTTCACCTGGTAGTAGCTGTCCCTTGAAGACTTGGCTCCAATAGTCACTTCCTCTGGGAGTCCCTTAGAGGCTTAGTTTTCCTTCGTGCAACACGTGTCCATGTCTGTCACAGCACTTAGGTTTATTATCTGCAGGTTTTTTTTTTTTTTAAGATTTATTCATTTATTTGAGAGAGAGCGTGTGTGCATGGGGGAGGGGCAGAGGGAGAGGGAGAGAGAGTCAGCATCGAGCCCGTTGTGGGACTCGATCTCATGACCTGAGATCACCACCTAAGCTGAAACCAAGAGTTGGACACTTACCTGACTGAGCCACCCAGGTGCGCCGCCCCCCGCCGCCCCTTTCTTCAGTTTTTAATTCATCTTCTCCAGTCAACTCCAAGATTCTTGAGGCCAGGGGATATTTTTATTTTCTTTTTTTCTGGGTTTCTCCAGCACTTAGGGAAGAGTTAAATAAATAGTATTTAAATTATGAAGAAACATAGTAAAAGGCAAAAATTTTAGGTAGATTGTCTCTTCCCTTTTTTTTTTTCGTTGTAATGATTCATTAATTTTCGTTGAGACTGTGCCAAAAGAACTCTCAGTTATGAAAGCGAATTATGTAAATAGATTCCATCCTGGTAGACTGTTCTGTAGATAACCGCCTACAACATGCACATCCTAGTGAGGGGGATGGGCGTGTAAACTAGAAAAGCTAAGTTGTACAGAGTTGAGATTTAGATATAGGTAATTGAGGTTCACACTGAATAGAAGATATCTAGGCTAATCTGTGACTCAAAGAAACAAGCTGTACGGTAAATCCTTCGAGTAACCCTCGCTTTCTGAGGCATAGCCAAGATCCTTGAAATGTGCACTTGTTCTGTGGGGTGTTGGCTTGGTCCTGTCTTTATCCCTTTATGCCTGTTATAGATCTTTGCATGCTAAGTGGATGGGTCACCTGTAGACATAGCAAGAGAGGCCTTATACCTCCACGTGAAAGGTACTGATTCTATTTTATTTACAAAACAAACAATAGCAGTTATTTTCCTTTCATTCACAAATGTTAGAAATGAGTAATTCCAGGGGCGCCTGGGTGGCTCAGTCTATTAAGTGTCCAACTCTTGATTTCAGCTCAGGTCATGATCTCAGGGTCATGAGTTGGAGCCCCATGTTGGGCTCCGCACTGGGCGTGGAGCCTGCTTAGGTTTTTCTCTTTCTCTCTGCCCCTCCGCCTCACTCATGTACACACTCTCTCTCAAAAAAAAAAAAAAAAAAAGAAATGAGTAATTCCAAGGGGAGAGCTGATACAGCTTTAAGAAGTGACAGACTGATGGACACCTGGGTGGCTCAGTTGTTAAGCTTCTGCCTTCAGCTCAGGTCATGGTCCTGGGGTCCTGGGATCGAGCCCTGCATCGGGCTCCCTGCTCAGCGGGAAGCCTGCTTCTCCCTCTCCCACTCCCCCTGCTTTCCTCTCGCTGTGTCTGTGTCTCTCTCTGTCAAATAAATAAAATCTTCAAAAAAAAACAAAAACAAAAGAAGTGACAAATTGATGATGTGAGAACAAAAGCAACCTATGGTCTTATAGCACAACACAGTAACCCATGGTCTTGTAACCCAGCCAATAAGCAGTATTTTGCCATGACTGTGCCTCCCAAAGAAGAGATTAAATTTTAGATATGCCATTCAGCAAAATTTGGAAATACTCACAATTTCATCTTGATGACTGAGAGTATAGATAGTTCTGGGCTTCACACTGGCATGATTCAGTCATCAGGGAATTATACTTATTTAAACATATAATTGCCTCAGAGATGCCAGATAGATGAGGACTTACTGCAAGGTGAGGCTAGTTTCAAAGAGAGAACCCAAATCGTGAAGTGAGGATGCAGAAAACTCATTGATTGGTTCACTCATCCAGCAAGCACTTAGGAAGCCTTACTCTGGCTGGCATGGCCAGAAACCACAGAAATCAAATGGAGGATACAAAAAATACTGATTCAAAGGGATACATGCACCCCAATGTTTATAGCAGCATTATTAACAATAGCCCAATTATGGAAAGAGCCCAAATGTACGTTGACTGATGAATGGATAAAGAAGATGTGGTGTGTGTGTGTGTGTGTGTGTGTTATGGAATATTACTCAGCCATAAAAAAGAATGAAATCTTGTCATTTGCAACAACACGGATAGAACTAGAGTGTATTATGCTAAGTGAAATAAGTCAGTCAGAGAAAGACAAATACCAAATGATTTCACTCATATGTGGAATTTAAGAAATAAAACAAATGAGGGGCGCCTGGGTGGCTCAGTTGTTAAGCGTCTGCCTTCGACTCAGGTCATGATCCCAGGGTCCTGGCATCGAGCCCTGCATCGGCCTCCCTGCTCAGCAGGAAGCCTGCTTCTCCCTCTCCTACTCCCCCTGCTTGTGTTCCCTCTCTCACTGTGTTTCTCTCTGTCAAATAAATAAATAAATAAAATCTTAAAAAAAAAATAAAACAAATGAACATTAAGGGGAAAAAAAGAGAGGCAAACCATAAAACAGACTCTTAATTATAGAGAACAAGCTGAGGGTTCCTGGAGGGGAGGTGGGCGGGGGATGGGCTAGATGGGTGATGGGTATTAGGGAGGACACCTCTTATGATGAGCACTGAGTGTTGTATGTAAGTGATGAATCACTAAATTCTACTCCTGAAACCAATATTATACTATATGTTAACGAACTAGAATTTAAATGAAAACTTGGAAGAAAGAAAAAGGAAATCAAGTGGAGGAAGATCCTAGAACAGTTTTGTGATGCTAACCTGTTCAAATATGAACCTTTACTTCCTTGATACAGCTCTATTTTACAGTGTTATTCCTTAAAGTATGATACATTAAAAACTCTTAAAGACATGTTTTTTGTATAGGATTTTAACTTAAAAAGCAAAAACATTGTCCAAGTGTGTTTGTATGGAGAGAGCTTTGATTTTGGAGTGACTGGAGTGGTAACTGTTGTCATGTTTTGTTTTTTTTTTTTACATTTGAGGCCAGGGCCCACTTAGGTGGGAAAAATTGCCATGGAAGTTTTGTGAGTGGGTAGATTCCAGGGGTTGGATTAACCTGGAAGGGGCACCATGGTAGCAGCAAGTAGCCAAAACAGAGACATGCGGATGTAGTCAGGATGGTGCCAGATTTGTCCGATGGTGGGGTGACGAAGAGTGTCTAATGTTAGGTTGAACATCAAGATCACTGACCAGGAGAGTCAAGTGAATTTGGACAAGAAGCAGGACATGGAACTGGCAGGGTGGTTCAGGAATTCATTACCAGGCACTGGGGTCCTGGGCTGGGCTACAGACTGGGTTTAATGAGACCTATCTGTAAACTTGGGATACTGTGAGATCACCTGATAATTTTGTTTTTGTGTCTCATTTTAATTTTTGTTCTTGGGTTTAGTATCTTAAATTTCTGGATCAGCTCTCAGAGAAAATGAAATTGGACCAGATGGCTGCTGAACTTGGCTTTGACATGCGTCTGGATGTAGTTTTAGCTCGCACGGAGCAGCTGGTCCGTCTCGAGAGCAACGCAGTCATTGAAAACAAGACTATTGCCCACAATTTACAGAGAAAGGTAGGGGATATTGAAACTTGCTTGAGAGAAGGAATTGCGGAGAGACTTAAATATAGAAAAATAATGTACTCCTCTTTCCTATTTACCACTGTAGTTAGGAAACATAGAAATATGTATTTAGAATTTGAGTCTCTGTTTCAAGTCTGAGGGATGGTAAGTATATCACCTAAGGTTATGTGTGACTCTGAATAATAGAGACCCCAAATAAAAGTGACTTAAATGACTAGAAGTGGCCCCCCCACCTCACATAAATTTCTGGAGGGGCGGCTCAGGGTGAGTGTGGCAAGTCTGCTCTGTAAAGTTTTCAAGGAGCCCAGCTGATTTCAGCTCATTAATCTCCCATCCCTAGGGTGGTCCACATCCTGGTGGTTCAAAATTGTACCTAGAATCATCATGTCTGTGTTCCAGACAGATTTTGGAGAAGAAAGGGATGAAGAAGAGGGATGCAAAAGAGCATGTGTGAGCTGTCTTTTGATGGAGGCTTCCAGAGTTTTCTATGTAAACTTGTATTTATATCCCACGATTCTGATGGCTGAAACTAGCTGCAAGGCAAGCTGGAAACTGTAGTCTTTATTCTGCGTAGCCACTTGCCTCGCAAAGAAACTCACTGTTTATTCTTAAGAGAGATGAGGAGAACTGGGAAACGTAGCAGTCTCCAACTGGATAAACTCTCTCTCTTTTTTTAAAAAAGATTTTATTTATTTATTTGACAGAGAGAGACACAGCGAAAGAGGGAACATAAGCAGGGGCAGTGGGAGAGGGAGAAGCAGGCTTCCCCGTGGAGCAGGGAGCCCGACGCAGGGCTCGATCCCAGGACCCTGGGGTCATGACCTGAGCTGAAGGCAGATGCTTAACCAACTGAGCCACCCAGGCACCCCTGAATAAACTCTCTTGCATTGGATAGTAAAGCGAGAAGAGCTAATTTTCCACTCACTCAAAAGAAGAGAAACAGTTTAGACGAAATAAATGAATGAGTGGATGAAAAGGATAAAAATATAATGATTAGTTATATAATTATTGGCATTGGTGAAAGAAAGAGCAAAACACAGATGTGTTCTTGTAATAGTTCTTAGGAGAAAATTCTGTGGTGGAATTATAGCGTATAGGCTGTGTAATGAGTCACATCTGGGATCCCAGTTTGGTTCCACGAAGCTCTGTGACCTTGGACAAATTATATACCTCTCTGTCTCTGTTTCCTCATATTTTAGATGGGGATAACATCTTCCTCATGAGGTTGTTCATTTTTAATAAAATACATGTTTAAACTCTTGGCTTATAGACTGTAGTCTATTCACATTTGACCTTTTCTCCATTTACTGGATTTTTAGGAATATTTTATTTAAAAAAAAGCAGATAACCCTATTACCATCAGAGACATTGAATTGAGCTATAGTTCTTTGAGTTCTCCTCAGATAATGGATTTCTTCCTCTTTATCCAACACCATTCCTTCTTAGGTATTGTATAATTATTAAAATTACCAGTGTACAGAACTTACCAGTGTAATTTTGCAGTAGAGTGGAATTTGATGTGAAAAAGCTCAAGGAAGGGAATTTGGCTAGAGAAACATGAAAAGGGCTTTGTTAAAGATGGATCTGGGTATGGACCATGCTGTCATAGTTAGACAAGCCTGCGTTTCAGTCTGCCCTTCACATCTCTGAACACTTTACAAATGTGGAGTATATAATTAGGGAAAATGCGACAGTCTTCAGCTCTAACGTTCTAGAATTCTACACGATTCCAATGCCCAGTGTTCGCAACAGATGAAGGAGGGTTCTGTACTTAATATTCCACTCACTAAATGTGACATTTGAAGCCTACGAGGATTTTTTTTCCCCCCTTAGAGTCCATAATCTTTTTTTAAAAACCACCATAATTTCCTTCATCAAGTTTGACTGTGAGTGATAAGTGCTGTTTGAAAAACTTGTTCTCTGCTTGGTTTGTGGATGGTATAGACCAGGCGTATAATAAAGATACCAATGAACTAAAACCTTCTTTTTTTTTTTTTTTAAAGGTTTTATTTATTTATTTGAGAGAGCGAGACTGAGAGAGAGAGCACATGAGAGGGGGGAGGGTCGGGAGGGTCAGAGGGAGAAGCAGACTCCCCGCCGAGCAGGGAGCCCGATGCGGGACTCGATCCCGGGACTCCAGGATCATGACCTGAGCCGAAGGCAGTTGCTTAACCAACTGAGCCACCCAGGCACCTGAACTAAAACCTTCTTGATGTCCCTTCTATTTTAAAGATTTTAAACATGTAAGCAAAGATTTCTCTAAACTCTCCCTGGTATAGCTTACTTTAAAAATAGATCAACTCTCATGTTTGGTGTTGCTCAGTCTGGTTCTAAGGGATTGAAATTAGCCAGTCTAGGTTTTTGGTACTAACCTGCACTCTGGCTTCCTTTAGAAAAGATCAGTGTAAGTATAGTTGCCATGGGGTGGTGGAGAGGATTTTGTCCCTCTACCCTATTCTGATCTTGATAAGTCCATTTTAGTAGTTTTAAAAGTAATTTTATGTGTCTATTATGCTGTACATACTGTGGGAGGGAATCAGATGTTGAAAGCCTACTTCTCTCTGTGTCTTCTGTGGCTCTTTTGTCTCATCCTTTGCAGCTACAGAATTAATTCTTGGAAAAATAGGAATAAAACATGTAATCGGGAAAAGGAATCCAATAACCTTTTTTAGTGGTTTACAAATTAGTCTTATTGAAGTGTAGATAAAGATCAACATGATCCGAGTGATTCATTTATATTTACTGACTGTTCAGTGATTATTTTTTAAAAAAATCCCTGTTTGTATCAAATCAGCTCAGGACTCAGAAAGAAAGGCTGGAGAGCAAAGAACTACATATGGGCCTCCTGCGGCAGAAAATCGCCCAGCTGGAGGAGGAGAAGCAGGTGCGCTCGGCCTTGGCTGTGGAGAGGGACGAGGCCAATCTCACCCTAAGAAAGTTGCAGAAGAGGGTGGAGAGGCTGCAGAAGGAGCTGAGTGTGTGTCGAGAAGCGAACACAGAGCTCAAAGCCAAGCTGGCTGAGCTGCAGGCAAGTGCTCAGCTTGGTTCCCTTGTTGCTATTTGCAAGTTACCCCTTTAGTTTATGTGAAAGAGCGGAAGTCTCACAACAGACACAGAAGAAGAGAAACAGGGACAAAAGCTTCCTCTGGTTTTCTAGAGTTGTGGGGGAAATGCAAAAGCTACACAAATCAGCATATTAGATCATTGTAGAGTCTCCTCGATAGTTGAACCCAAGCCATGGCTGCTGCGTGAAAATTCCATCAAAAAAGGGTGATGTAGGTGGAGGGGATGAAGAGGCCACTTCCCGTGATGAGCACTGAGTAGGATGTGGAAGTGTAGAGTCCCTATATTGTACACGTGGAAGGACTAGAACACCGTATATGAACTATCCTGGAATTCAAAGAAAAAAAGAAAAGGGGTGATGTGACGTAGAGAAAATATAAGCATTTCTTCCAAGTGTGGGTGACTGTGGTATTTGGGATCACGTAGGGAGCTATCACGTGGGAATCTGCTTAGGAAGAAGTGAGCAAATGAGCACAGCCCTTCACTGAGAAGAGTCAGGCAGGAAACAGTGTTTCATGAGCTCTGTGAGATGCCTTATCCCCGGAAGGGAGGAAGGTACTCAGATCAGGGCAGTGTGCTTCCTGGATTTGAAGTGTTCCACTTCTAATCACGACAGAGAAGAAAGGAATGACAACTTAAACAAATTTAATCAGAATCTTTAAATGTCCTGTATGTGTGCCCCCTGGAACGGGTATGTGACTTCAGAGGCACATACCACTTCTGGCAGATATGCGTATTGTGAATACAGATGTGAATAATGTCCTGGCTCTTTGCAGATGAGCGCTCTGGACTGGACTTCTGGAATGTTTCTGAATCTGGAAACAGACCAAGAGGGAAAAGGAGCCTGGCATTAAGCTAGCACTTAAATATGTATGGTGGGGACAGTATTTTAGGAAATATTTCCTATTGTATTTTTTTCTTCTGAGTCATTAGCTCTTTTCCCCTGAAGCCCTTCTGAGTTGAGGCTTATTTCCCTCGAGGAGAAAAAGGGCAGACACAGGCCAGGGGAGGGAACATATTTAAAAATAAGGAAAGCAGGAAACAAGGGAAAGCATCTGATGGGGTGCAAAAACTGGGGAGCAAATATCGAGGTAGGTATCTTGCACACCCCCTCACACCTTGAGACTGATCTTTGGGGGGGTGTTGGGGTGGGGGTCCACAAGCCACTGCTCCCACCCTGGTCGGAAGGGGCTGCCGGGGTGCTGAGGCAGCATCTGTGATGTAAAGCCAGGTTTTCAAATGTCCTGTGGTGGATACAAAGTGTTTCTAGGTGGTGCGTGACCGGGCATTATATAATATTCAGTCCTGAAGTGAAAAATGGGTTCCCTTTAGTTTTTTCTTCCAATTCTTCCCATTGTCAAGGAGAAAATTTTAATTAGAAGTTATTATGTCTTTACTACTATTATTTACTACTTGACTACTATTATAGCCTTGGACTTGGGAAGAATCAGTTCTATTCATTGGCTTCCTCATGTGGGAGGAGAGATGAGAATAATTCCCATAATTGGTGTTAAGTAGGCAGTGATAAATAGGCAATATGATAAATAAAGTGAACTCGGATTTCAAAACAGGGAAGTAAATTTGGTCATAAAGAAAGGGACATGTTTCATTGTAAGCATGTGTCAATGGAATAGTTCAAATTCCTCAAAGAAATCTGTGATAGGAAGGAAGGGTAAATAGCACTGGGGATTTTCATACACCGAGCTGGAGAAGAAGAGGAGAAGAGAATGACATGGAGTAGTCTGGGTGATTGCTAAGGATGACTAAGTGGGGGGGACATTGGGGAGGCCTGATGATGCGTGATGGCATCCCAGAGGAAGGACCTGAGGGAGCATTTCCTAATAAGACCACACTGTGTTTCGGAAACAAGGTGCGGTGGTGTTGGAAGGTACCGTGTGAGTTGCATGGCTTCTTTTCCCTCGTTCCCTCCACCCTGCGGCTGGGGACATCTGGTCCCTACCAACAAATTTCCCCCTTCTCATATAGTGTACTTTTCTGTCCTTGGGAGAAATTAAGAAGCTTAATTTAAAAAGTCAGGGTTGACTCAACCTTGCTGTTTATTTCACTGCTAACCTCATTGTGAAATCTACATGGCTTCCGAGGCTGAGCATCTCTTCTCCATAATTGGGTTGCAGCTGTGCTCTTTATACCCCGCCCATCCCCTTATCATCTCAAAGCCCCTTGCTTCCCCTGATAGTGGAGGCCTGCCTTGCTTTTGCCAGTTTCTAAGAACTGAGCTCCCGTCTCCGAATGACCTGGGCTGGGCCCGACGAAGGGCTGTCAGGACTCAGGGACATTAACTGGCAGGTCCCAGCTAGCTCTCCGCATGTGGCCAGATACCGTACAGCTAAAATAGAATACTATGGTGAATGAATATACTATAAAGCCGGGTACAAATATTAGTTGCCATTGTAGCTAATTTTATCACTGCCGAGGGTGGCAGTTTGTACTGTGGGGCTGGAGGAGCCTTTAGACTTACCACATGCCTCCGGAGCCTGAGTAACGTTGGCCTGCATGGAGCATGGCAGCTCACAGTCTAGCAGCCAACGAGGTGATGATGGACAGGGGATTCCCCATCGGCGACGCCCGGGAACAGGGTCCAGCACCTGCTGGGTGAGAGTGGAGAAAGGGTGGCTTTGGAAGTGGGCCAGCTCCTGGTGAGTGGCACCTTGGGGGTGTGGGTCTGAGGAGGGCGTCTTCCAGGCTACATGTATTGAGAGTAGTGCTGGGACCCTTAGCCAAGACAGCCCTATAAGCTGGAGATGGTGCTGGGGAGAGAGGAGCCCACGCTTTCTGTAGCAGAAGGGGGAAAACAGCTGGTGGAAATTGAGCCCTGTATCTGAGGAGTATGTTCCCATTTGGTCGCAACAATATCTGCCTCACATCTGCATCGTATTTCGCCTAGATGATGATAATTGTCTGTAAGTGGTCTTTCCACTTAACCTTTCACAAGCAAGCCTGATTCTTGTAATTAGGTTTTGCTCTTTGGGCGACGTGATTATGCAACGGGTCGTTCTGGTGATAATTTCAGGTTTACCAGTTTCTTCTTCTAGTGTCCATGGGGGAAAGCAACATTTTCAGGTGTGGGGCACATAGCTCTTGGGACACATAAAATACTAGGTGCTGCATGACAGGTCACTAATGTTCAATCATAAGGTGAAAAATGGGTTCCCTTTAATTTTTCTTCCAATTCCTTCACTATCAAGGAGAAAATCTTAATTAGAGGTTATTACGTCTTTATGCCCCTAGAACATATACTAGTCTACATTTTAAATAAAGAATAAACCTTAAGCTCAGGGCTGAGTACAAGCAATAGTACCTAGTTGTACTGTTTTGTTTTCATTGTACAGTGGGGTTTTTTTTCTTCTTTTTAAAAAAATTTTAATGCTAGTATAATTAACACATAGTTATATTAGTTTCAGGTGTATAATATAGTGATCAACTGTTCCATACTGACTCAGGGCTCCTCATGGTCATTGTACAGTGTTTGCTTTATTGTTATCTTCCAGTTGTGGCAAATTCTACTGAAATCATACAAAATTCCTTTTCATAGAAATAAATTCAGGTAAGTTCAAAAGATGGTTGAGTTAAAGAAAAAAAATGATGACCATAGGTTATATGTGGATATGGGAAAAATTGTGGACGTGGAATGGGAGAAACTGAAGTATAGACGAATAGACTGAAGAAGGGGATGATCCCAGTGATAACCAGATGCAATCAGCAGGTGGACAAAAGCTTGGTCAGCTGTTGCTGACACCATGCTGATGTCCAGAGTCAGGGGGCGGTGGCGGGAGAAGCTGGGCAGCGGACAGGGGCCAGATCACCCAGGGCCTTGTGTGTCTCCTAAGATGCTTGGACTTGTCTTCTGGGTCCTGGGGAGCCATTGCAGACTTTCAGACGGGAGAGTGAAATCATCAGGGAAGAGACTAAAAAGAAACAGAAACATGGGGGGAGAGCTTTATTTTGCGTAAAGAGATCCACTTTTTTTACTAGCTAAGGTTATAGGAAAGGTATAGGAGAGGTGGGATTTGACTGACTCAGGAATGACTCAGGCCCTTCACCACGGACATGGGATGCTAAGTCTGCCTTCCACTAGAGCACAGAGATCTCTCTAACTTACTAACAGAGTGAATGCTAACTTCATGAATTTCAGAGATTTTAGCTACAAATGACTTTTTATTTTTTTGTTGGAGACATATTAGTGTCTAAGACAGACTAATGATATCAACTATTTATCTTTGTACATTGCCTGTGCTCATCCCTGTACTGACTTTATTATTCATCAGATAACATTTCTGAATGTTAGCTAAGATGACCTTTTTATCATTTTCTATGGCTGCCATAACCAGTGATCACGAATTGGGTGGCTTAATACGATAGAAATTTTTCTCTCATAATTTTGGAGGCCAGGAGCCTGACAGCAAAGTGTTGGCAAGGTTGATTCCTTTTGGGGAATGAGGGCCCATCCGCTCCATCCTCTCTCTGGGCTTCTGCTTGCTGCTTGCACCTGCGGGATTCTTCTCTGCTGCCACCCTTAGGTGACTGTCGCCTCGTGTGTCCCTCCTTCTCTGTTTCTTGTAAGGACACCCACCATTGCTTTTAGGGGCCACCCTATTCCCGGATGATCTCATCGTGAGATCCTTAACCTTAATGATACCTGCAAAGGCCCTTATTCCAAGTAAGGTCACATTCTGAGGTTCTGGGTGGATATGTATTTATTTTTTGGGGGGGAGAGGGACACAGTTCAGCCCACTACACTTATTAAATTAAGAATTAATTTCACCATTTATGGAAGGTCGATATAAAAGATACTAATTTGAACTACGTTACTTTGCCTTAAAAAATTCAGGCCATAAAATTCAGCCTTTTTTTTTTTTTTAAAGATTTTTATTTATTTATTTGACAGAGAGGGGCACAGCGAGAGAGGGGACACAAGCAGGGGGAGTGAGAGAGGGAGA